AAAAAGGCTTTGGAAGAAAACCAACCAGTGATCGAGGATGATCCACAGACTTTTCGTGTGAAGAGCCGCGGGTGCTTGCAAGGACACCTTGACCCTGATCTGGATAAGAAGGTGGAGACCGGCTTGCTTCAATCCCCTACTCTCAGTCAAATGGGGCGTATGTTGGTAATGCAACTTATTTCCTCAAACAAATGGGTCCTTCAACTTGGAGATATCAAAGGGGCATTTTTGGAAGCTGGACCTCTTCCTGCCAAGTTTCGTCCTTTGTTTGCATCACAACCGAAAGGTGGCATTCCCGGAGTGCCACATGATGCAGTTTTGGAAGTGACTGGAAATTTGTACGGACAGAACGATGCGCCTTTGGCATGGTATCGTACCTTTGACGAAGAAGCTTGTGGTTTTGGCTGGGAACGATCCAAACTTGATCCATGTTTGTATTTTCTAAGTGATGACGTTTCTAACAAACTTGTTGGAGTCATGGGTGTACATGTGGACGATACTGCAATAGGTGGTCAAGGTACAAAGTTCAACAAAGCAGTCGAATTGTTGAAACAACGTTTTCCCTACCGTAAGTGGCGTGTTGGAAGTGGAGAATTTTGTGGTTCATTTTACACTCAAGATCCGAAAGACAGCTCCATTCAAATGTCACAGCGCTTGTTTGCAGAGAAGCTCAAACCTGCTTCCATTCCCAAACATGCCAAGACTGATCAGCTTTTGAATCCAGGCCAAATTCGAGTTTTGCGAGCTATCAATGGCTCCCTCAACTGGATTGCATCGCAGAGTCGCCCTGATTTAGCTGTGCAGACCAGCATGTGCCAACAGTCTTTTCCGCAACCAAAGATTCATAATCTAAGAGAAGCCAATCAAGCAATCCGCAGAGCCAAACAGCATAAAGATCTGCAGATCAAATTTTCTTCTATTCCTGTTCAAGATCTCATGATTTGTTGTCACTCTGATGCGGCTTTTGCGAACGTTGGCACACATACACAGGCTGGGTACATAGTAGGTTTTGCTGAAAAGAAACTCCATCATGGAGAAATCTCTAACTGGACTCCTGTGGTGTGGAAGAGTTACAAAATGCCACGTGCAGTTAGCTCTACCTTGGGAGGGGAAAGCCAGGCAATGTCTACTGCCACAGGAACAGTTGAGTGGCTCAGTTTGCTCCTTGCCGAAGCTCTAGAAGGACGATTTAATGTTCGTGAGTGCAGGTCGCTGCTTGCCAAAAGACCTCCAATTTTTGCAACTGACTGCAAGTCACTTTACGATCATTTGGTTTCTCCGTCATCACCTACAGCTGTTGATGACAGAAGAACAAGTATAGATATTGTCATCATTCGTGAATCTATCAAGCTAACTCACGCACAAGTGAGATGGCTTCCAACCAATCGCATGATTGCAGATGGACTTACTAAAGATTGCAGATGGACTTACTAAAGACAAAGCAGATCCCATATATTTGCTCAGGTCATGTGTGGGAGCAGGAACGTACCAAATCTCACCAGAAGAGCATGTGTTAGCACAGCAAGCCGAAGAGCGTGCCTTGAAAGCCCAAAAACGACAGAATGCAATGGAGTCCCATGGGAAGCATCTGGGGGAATCAGATGAAGCACTTGACTCAAGGGATTTAAATGGGAATAAGCATAAGCCTAATGAATGGGAATAGCGTGTAAATAAGTAGGGATAATAGATAAGGGTATCTATTTTAGGCCTTGCTCTTGACCGTCCCATTTCACTGGAAGCTTTCTGCCAAACACCCATTTTTGTGAGAAATCAGAGTGCTGCAGTTTTTGCCACGGCATTTTGCCAATTTTGTTTCACTGCCACTTTGCATGGTATTTACAAACAGCTCAAGCACATAGCTTCGACCTCGCTCGCACAGCCTGCAAGTTGTCTTGCATTTTGTAAAGTGATTCTCGAATATCCCTGCCATCTTTTTGTGCAATTTCTTTGTGATCGTCATGGCCGCTCCAGGTTTGACTGCCTCGGAGAATCAGCAGCTCCAGCGTCTGTTGGCCAAGGCCAAGACCGCTGCTGGCCCTTCCGGACGTGGGTCATTGGTGCCAATTTATGACTCAGAAACCGGAAACATGTTTGATCCTACGACTGGTGTGTTGCACAACATTTGGGATGATGAGACCGAGTCCTGGGATGATACTGGAGCAATGTTCATGGGAGCTATGAATGATGCTTCCAAGCGTCGTGACGATGGCGATGGAGGTCAGCCAGAATCCAAGCGTGTGAACATGGCCAGTGGCTTGCCTGTAACACAGCATGCCTATGCCAGCCCAGTGAGCACAGAGGTGCCTTTCCCCATGGAGCATGCATCAGCATCCATGGTTGGCGATTTGCCACCCTTTCCAACTGGAGTGACCGATTTGGAGATGTGGGGCCGCACCATGATCTGCTTCGGGTTGTTTGCCAAGGATGATTTGAGCTACAGTGAGCTTGCCTTCTCCCAGGAAGAGCGCAAAGTTTCCTATGTCAAATGGGTGATGTCACGTCGTGCCGTTGCCACTGGAAATTTGAAGGATTTGTGCTCGTATCTCATGCATGTCAAGTTTGATGATCGTTTGATCAATCATTTGGTCATTCCGGGCACCACTCAGAAGCGTGTCCTCAAGCCATGATCACATGCCAGTGCTACAGATTTTTGAAGATTCAATCAACAGCTGCCATATGGATGGTTTTCCTTCTTGTATCTCTCAGATCAAGAGGAATTAACCAAGATCGGAAGAGAACAGAACTTTTAAGTTTTAGAGATTATAACCGGTCTTAATTCAGCTGTCACATGACCACTGTCCATCATTTACATGTCAGGAAGACATGTGCGTTTCCGCAGGGATCCTTTGCTTCTCAGGCGAGGCGAGAAAAGGCGCCCAACTGGTTGAACTAGGAAGTTCATGCGGTTAGGATACCGCTTCCAGTTTTAATACATATATATATATTGATGCTATATAGTGGAAACGTATGGATATATATAATGGGAAATTTAGTGGGAATATATATATATGTGGATATACTTGGTATATCATGGGGATAGAGTGAAGACTTGTGAATATAATAGGAACAAAATGGGAGCATAGTGGAAAACATTATGATAGAATGATTGCTGGAAAGAAATTTGTTGGATTGTTGGACAAACTTGGAAATTTTGGGATATGGGAAATATTATCAAATGATTGAGAAATATGATCGTACCCGTGGGGGTTAACCAATTGAACTGCGATACCATGGGTATAAGACCAATGATGAGAGAGAGAGAGAGAGAAAAAAAAAAACTAGACGACGGATGGCCCGAGAGCGTAGAGGAGCAGAGTCTTCTTCTGCTGTTAGTATGGCGACACTATATTACAAGACAATATATTAAAGATGTATTACAGGCAGACGAGAAGAGTAGTATCAAGACAATATTATATGGCATCGTATCTTTTCCATCGTATCTTTCAAAAAGTTTTTCACGCACAGAACTTTTTACAGACAGACGCTTTTGCACACAGACGCTTTTACACACAGACGCTTTTACACACAGACGCTTTTACACACACACAAACACTTTTACACACAGAGACTTTTACACACAGACGCTTTTACACACAGAAGCTTTTACACACAACCGTTTTTACACACAGACGCTTTTACACACAGAGGCTTTTACACACAGACGCTTTTCCACACAGAGACTTTTACACACAGACGCTTTTACACACAGACGCTTTTCCACACAGAGACTTTTACACACAGACGCTTTTACACACAGAGGGTTTTACACACAGACGCTTTTACACACAGACGCTATTACACACAGACGCTTTTACACACAAAAGTTTACACACAAACAGTTTTACACACAAACACTTTTACACAGAGACGCTTTTACACACAGAAGCTTTTACACACAGATGCTATTACACACAGACGCTTTTACACACAGACGCTTTTACACACAGACGCTTTTACACACATCGCAATTTTACTTCAGTTTTTGGCGATCCAACCTCATTTCGTGCGAAAGGGACGTGCGAAAGGGACGTGCGAAAGGGTCGCGCGGGACAAGTTGAAATCGCAATTTTACCTCAGTTTTTGCCGATCGAACCTCATTTCGTGCGAAAGGGTTCACCGGAAGCACGAAATCGCAATTTTACCTCAGTTTTTGACGATCGAACCTCATTTCGTGCGAAAGGGTTGCGCCGGACGACTTGAAATCGCAATTTTACCTCAGTTTTTGACGATCGAACATCATTTCGTGCGAAAGGGTTGCGTTTCGTGCCGTCTCGTTGGCACTGCCCCTGCTCCCGCCTTCAAGAGAGAAATAGAAAAGAAGGAGAGGGCAAGAGGGCAAGAGGGCAAGAGGAGAAGGTGTGAGATGAGATGTAAAGATGAGAAGATGTGAGAAGATGTGAGAAGATGTGAGAAGATGTGAGAAGATGTGAGAAGATGTAGAGTGAGAAGATAGTGGAGAACTGTCTTCTGACCAGAAGATGACAGAGATAGATGTGAGAAGATGTGAGAAGATGTGAGAAGATGTGAGAAGATGTGAGAAGATGTGAGAAGATGTGAGAAGATGTGAGAAGATGTGAAGATGAGAAGATGAGGAGAAGATGGGAGGATGAGAAGATGTGAAGATGAGAAGATGTGAAGATGAGAAGATGTGAAGATGTGAAGATGAAAAGATGTGAAGATGAGAGGATGTGAAGATGAGAAGATGTGAAGATGAGAGGATGTGAAGATGAGAGGATGTGAAGATGAGAAGATGTGAAGATGAGAAGATGTGAAGATGAGAAGATGTGAAGATGAGAGGATGTGAAGATGAGAAGATGTTTTACAGACCCCCACTATTGGAAGAACCTTGCGCTCAGACGCTCTCGGGAAAAATATTACATAAACATAAACGGTGGTCTCTGCCCATTCTATCCTCATCGTATCTAATTGTATATAATGATACAAGATACATATCCATCATATCCCCAGTTTAAGTTTTCCCAAAATGCCCACTACATCAGGACCTCACAGTGTGGTCATTGGGCTCTCTGGCCCTTGGTGCCAGCTCTGCAGCAGCTTGCGGCGCGCTTGCGGCTAGATGGACGATTGGAGGTCGATCAAATGGTGGTATCATGGGGATGTCTTTGTTTTCAGGTAACATGCAGGGCCTAAGGGGCCTAAGGGGTAATACTAAGACACGTTGTGATATATCAACGTGAGGAAACCAATGGAAACCAATGGAAACCAATGGAAACCAATGGAAACCAATGGAAACCAGTGGAAACCAATGGAAACCATTGGAAACCACCAAAATGAGGAACATAGGGGTCAGATCGACAAGGTCAATTAGATTGTTCTTAGATATTAGACATATCACTGGAACATCTATAAATAAAGGGATGTTGATGATGGTGATCCATAGTTGTGATTCTGCAAATGCCGTGAAATCCGCTTACTTTTGGTCGAATCCATATTTCTACAAGGTAGATTCATGTACCCTCTGGTTATTTAACATAGCCATGGAAAATGGCCCATTTATAGATGATTTTCCCATTAAAACCTCCATTTATAAGGGATTTTCCATGGCTATGTTAAATAAGGATTTAGTACAGCCACCATGTTTGCTGGTGAATTTGCTGGTCAAATCCACATGTGTTTTGCCTATGAACTTCTTTGGGTCAATCCTATGTTGACTGTATATCTCCTAGATTCAGGTGATCGTTGGATTTGTTGATATAAGGGGAAAATGCCACAGGAAACATCAGGAAACCATGGTTTAAACATAGGAAAACATCAGGAAACCATGGTTTCAACATGTTTTAACCATGGTTTCAACCATTTTACCGATCAAATCACGAAAAATCCAGGAGAGCCTTGAGCTCTTTCGACGTGCTGATGAAGTGGTGAGCTCCTTTTTTTGTTCGGCGCGTGATGGACGATGGGGGTGGTGTACTCAAAAAGTGGAGATGCTTATGGTGCGAAAATGTTGGGAGAGTTTGGTTAACTCTATTAGGTCATATTAGAGCCACATGGAAAATAGTAAATCTGCAGTACTCCAATCTATTCGATCCACAGCATTTAGATCCACCCCATGATGTTTTATTTGGAGAAGAAAATGGTGTGGATCTGGCAAAGGAAAAATGAAGGGATGTACCCAACCAATAATGGCAATTTCAAGAAGTAAAACGATGGAGTTGCCCAGCGCATGGGTGTCACATATAGTACCATGATAGGCCCCTACTACATGTAAAGGGGGCTGGCTTTCATCCCAACCAATCACTTGCATCACATGCAAACAAACCCGAAGTTTTTGCCCGTCCTGCCCAAATCATATCTGATATTATTTAGTGGTTTTTGTGAATATGGAAGGATATTTTTTTGAACGTCATGTCTTATGATTTGAAACTTCCAGCAAAAGAAAAGGGTGCTATTGAAACTTTCGGTTTTGCTAGAGAAGATTTTTGAGATTATATCATATCATATCATTATTAAGTGTAATTGAGCATAATTATAAATGTCTTACAGTCTTCTTGCCAAACAGAACAGAAGACCTCTGGAAACTCAACAGAATCCAGGGCCCAACCATTGCATGGATATGGATTTGTTTTGACTTCAGGGCCTTGCCAATACGTGGGTAGGGCCTCTGAGGATCAGTGGTTCCATTGTCCAACATTCATTTGCGAAACTTGGAGTCTGTTTGCATCACTGGGGCGCAGGGGGCGCAGGGGGCGCAGAGTAGGGTACCAGTAGGCCAGTAGGTATAGTTGAAAGTTGATACAGTTTATACATCGGGCAGGCTGCGGGTTTGTTCAAACTAACATGGCGTGTAAAAACCATCCCGTATTCCTAATAACATTGCCATTTTGGGGTCATGTCAAGTAGTCCCCCTGCAAGCAGCACTAGCACCATCCGGAGATGATCGGAAAAATTTTGGTTGGTGGAAATAACATCACCATGTCTACTGGATGTTGCTTGTATCCCCATGTTTACTTCAAAGAATCCCTGGTCGTTGGTTCAAACATGTCCAAAGCGTGTCTTCTCTTTGGGGAACTCTAGACCTTGTCCACTGGGCTGCCAACAAAAACGAACCAATCAGTGGATTCCTAGTGGTCTGATCCATCAACTCGACCTATCCCGAGCTCCATGTTGGCCAAAGTGATTGCTGGTAGAATGATCTCCTCCATTTGGGTATAGGTCAAAAGCGGGTATCCCAATAATTTCATGCTTCATATATTCAAACTATATCAAACATATTTAAACATATTTAAACAATTTTAAACATATACTAAAATCTGTGGTCCCTTCTGGGGCTCAAATTTTGACTCCCCGTTTCTCCCAGGACTCCATTCTGAGATGCTGCTGACCTGCCGCTCCGACACAACGTTGGCCGAGAGTCTCTGGCTCGTGGCGGCCGGCTTCGGTTCGGGGCTGCAGGTGTGGGAAAGGGCCGACTTCGCCACGGGTGATGGAGAGTAAGTGGGAGAATGATTTCAGACATTGTTTCGTGTAGATTCTGTAGATGTTTATGGCCGGGAAATTGTCGCAAACATTGATTGGATGATGTTGATGTTTCTATTGGATCTTCGAGGATCTTTTGGGGGATCTTAAAGATTTAAAATCGGACCGGATTTAACTTTATTTCTGATCTGGGATTAACTTTGCCCAACCACGGAGGGGCAGCCAACAAATGGGATCTTACCAACAAGCTGGCGGCTCAGTGGCGAAGAGGGGTTTGATATTACCAACAGCGAGATGTATATTCATGGGGTATGCGAAATAAAGTGGTACCCTCTGGTAAGCATACAAAAAACTGTGGAAAATCACCATTTTGAATGGGTAAATCAACTATTTCTATGGCCATGTTCAATAGCTATGTTAAATTACCAGAGGGTATGTTTTTTTGAGCTTCAAAAACAACCAAATCTGAAACCCTGGTGATATGCTGAACAACCATAGTTCTAGACATACATCTACATGTAAACCATATATCCTATATATATATGGGTTTGTCTGAAAACAGGATATATTCCCAATTATAGCCATTTAATAGGGATAATGATCATTAACCATTGGGTTTAGGGGTACACTATTTTCAGACACACCCATATATATATATATATATCCTATAGTAAATGGACAGACTGATCTAGACCAAACTCGTTGCGGTGGTCGTGTCGTTTCGATGGGGCCCTGCAGGTGTGGCAAACGCTGGTTGGTTTCCGCTTGTTTCTTGGTGCAGCTGCCATATTCGGGAGACCAGAGCAGTTGGCATCCTCGAAGCATCTAGTGTGTAGCAACCCCAAAAGATAGTAAAGTGGGAAACCTGGAAATATGAATTAAATATCATCAAACTAACATCCTGGAAGCACTTTTCGATATCTTTTTGGGGTCATTGAAATAGATTCAATGGATCAGACATGGTTTTGCCCTACTAGCGGAAGTTTTGCATGGTTTATGAACTGTATGATTTAGTATATTTCCAAATGTGTTGTCCAAAATTAGGATGAATTTTGATCGATAGTAATGCGGTGTTTACCCATCATATACCATCCCATTAACCAGCCCTTTGGGGGTCATGTCACATCACCTCAATTTCTAGATATTTCTAGGGGGTTACCTAATAGGGCCATCACAATCCCATTATCAAAGGAAGTTGGGAAGCAATACTTCCGTGTTACGGACAAATAGAATTGTGACACTTGACCCTGATGAAGGGTGGTGTGAGACTTTACACTACATATATAACAATACATCACAAAAGAATTTACCTTGATGAAGGGCGGTGTGAGACTTTACATCGCATAACAATAAATCACAAGAGAATTGACCTTGATGAAGGGCGGTGTGAGACTTTACATCACATAACAATACCTCACAAAAGAATTGACCTTGATGAAGGGCGGTGTGAGACTTTACACTACATAACAATACATCACAAAAGAATTGACCTTGATGAAGGGCGGTGCGAGACTTTACATCACATAACAATACATCACAAAAGAATTGATGAAGGGGGGTGTGAGACTTTACACTACATAACAATACATCACAAAAGAATTGATGAAGGGCGGTGTGAGACTTTACACTACATAACAATACATCACAAAAGAATTGATGAAGGGCGGTGTGAGACTTTACACTACATAACAATACATCACAAAAGAATTGACCTTGATGAAGGGCGGTGTGTGACTTTACACTACATAAAACAATACATCACAAAAGAATTGACCTGCATGAATGTTGCATGGGGTTTGTGTTGGGGAGGAAGCCGGAGCACGAAACCTTGTGTTTTTCCGTGTAAAGTGGCTGCAGCCGGCGATGAAAGGTACCCCGTGTGTGCGGCGGTTGCGGCTGCGGTCTTTGTGGTTCCTTCTATGTGTTTTGCAACGAGTGGTTGTTCCTGTGTGCGTAGTTCTATGCGTTTCTTGAAGCTGTGGTTGCAGATCACATTGGAATGGCTGCATGAATGTTGCATGGGCTATGTTTTGGGGAGGAAGCCGGAGCACGAAACCTTGCGTTTTTCTGTGTAAAGTGGCTGCAGCCGGCGATGAAAGGTACCCCGTGTGTGCGGCGGTTGCGGCTTGCGGCCGTTGTGGTTCCTTCTATGTGTTTTGCAACGAGTAGTTGTTCCTGTGTGCGTAGTTCTATGCGTTTCTTGAAGCTGTCGTTGCAGATCGCATTGGAATTGCTGCATGAATGTTGCATGGGCTATGTTTTGGGGAGGAAGCCGGAGCACGAAACCTTGCGTTTTTCCGTGTAAAGTGGCTGCAGCCGGCGATGAAAGGTACCTCGTCTGTGCGGCGGGTGCGGCTGGGGTCGTTTCATGCGCGAATTGTTCCTCCTATGTGTTTTGCAACGAGTGGTTGTTCCTGTGTGCGTAGTTCTATGCGGTTCTTGAAGCTGTGGTTGCAGATCGCATTGGAATGGCTGCATGAATGTTGCATGGGTTATGTTTTGGGGAGGAAGCCGGAGCACGAAACCTTGTGTTTTTCCGTGTAAAGTGGCTGCAGCCGGCGATGAAAGGTACCTCGTCTGTGCGGCGGTTGCGGCTGCGGTCTTTGTGGTTCCTTCTATGTGTTTTGCAACGAGTGTTTGTTCCTGTGTGCGTAGTTCTATGCGTTTCTTGAATCTGTGGTTGCAGATCGCATTGGAATGGCTGCATGATTGTCGATCTGATGTTGCCACGTGCGTAGATACGTGCAGGTTTGCGACGTGATGCTGCAAAACGCATTGTACTGGCTGCGTCAAGGTTGCTTGGCATCGCGGCTGCATGAGTAATACTATTCTCTTTTGCAGCTGGACATCCTAAATTGTATTGGAGTGGCTGCATCAAGGCGGCGACAGTGATTTGTCAGCAGATTTTCTCGATTTTCGCGCTAGTAATTTTCCTTTTAAAAAACCTTTTAAAATGTGCTTCAAAATCGTGTTTTTTTCGCTTTGGCGTCGAGATCTATCTGGTTTTGGAGCTGCAATTTCCGACGCCGTTGCGCGTAGTTCTAGCGTGTTTTGCAACTCAGTCTCTGCACATCGCATTGTAATGGCTGCGTTAAGGTTGCTTCGTGCCGCGGCTGCATGCGTAATACTATTGTCTTTTGCAGCTGGATCTCGTAAATAGTATAGGAGTGGCTGCACCAAGGCTGCGACAGTGATTTGGCAGCAGATTTTCTCAATTTTGGCGCTAATAATTTTCCTTTTAAAAATCCTTGTAAAAATTGCTTCAAAATCGTGTTTTTTTCGCTTTGGCGTCGAGATCTATCTGGTTTTGGAGCTGCAATTTCCGACGCCGTGGCGCGTAGTATTATTGCGTTTTGCAACTCGGTCTCTGCAGATCGCATTATAATGGCTGCGTTAAGGTTGCTTCGTGCCGCGGCTGCATGCGTAATACTATTGTCTTTTGCAGCTGGATCTCGTAAATAGTATAGGAGTGGCTGCATCAAGGCTGCGACAGTGATTTGTCAGCAGATTTTCTCAATTTTGGCGCTAATAATTTTCCTTTTAAAAATCCTTGTAGAAAGTGCTTCAACATCGTGTTTTTTTCGCTTTGGCGTCGAGATCTGGTTTTGGAGCTGCAATTTCCGACGCCGTGGCGCGTAGTATTATTGCGTTTTGCAACTCAGTCTCTGCAGATCGCATTATAATGGCTGCGTTAAGGTTGCTTCGTGCCGCGGCTGCATGCGTAATACTATTGTCTTTTGCAGCTGGATCTATAGTAATTTTCCTTTTAAAAATCCTTTTAAAATGTGCTTCAAAATCGTGTTTTTTTCGCTTTGGCGTCGAGATCCGGTTTTGGAGCTGCAAATTCGGACGCCGTTGCGCGTAGTTCTTGTGTTTTGCAACTCAGTCTGTGCACATCGCATTGCAGTGGCTGCGCTAAGGTTGCTTCCTGCCGCGGCTGCATGCGTAATACTATTGTTTTTTGCTGCTTAGATTAAAATGAGAAGAGATGAGATGAGAAGAGATAAGCTAGGATAAGGTGAGAAGAGCTCAGATGAGATGAAGTGTGGAGTGTGAAGAGTGCAGTGTCAAGTGTGGGGCGTGAAGAGTAGTGTAGTGTAGTGTAGTGTACTGTAATTAGTGTAGGGTAGTGCAACGTAGTGTAAATGTAGTATTGTCGTAGTTGTAGTTGTTGTAGTTGTAGTTGTAGTTGTAGTTGTAGCTGTTGTAGTTGTAGTTGTAGTTGTAGTTAGTGTAGTGTAATGTAGTGTAGTGTAATTGAGTGTAGTGTAGTGGAGTGTAGTGGAATGTAGTGTAGTGTAATGTAGTGTAGTGTAGTGTAATTGAGTGTAGTTGGGTGTAGTGTAATTGAGTGTAGTGGAGTGTAGTGTAGTGTAGTGGAATGTAGTGAAGGTGTAGTTGTAGTTGTAGTGTAGTGTATTGGAGTGCAGTGTGGTGTAGTGGTGGTTGTAGTTGAAAATGCTACAAAGCCCTCACGTTTTGCTCACTTTTGACAAGGTGCACAATCCCTTGCGCCTGCCACGCGAAACGACATCTGAACGTCCAAAAGTGGTCCGAACCCCTAGTGTTTTTAACATTTTGACTTCGACATGTGCTTCGCGCCACAACGGTGTGCACTTTTTCGGCATCTCGGGGGGTTGGTTATTTGGATAGTAGCATATAATACATACATAATATATATATATATAGATATAGATATAGATAGATAGAGATTTAGGTGTATCTTTGCGATGATATAGGTAAGGGTTCATACGCAAAAAACAATTCCTTCATACTCCCTTCATACTTTTAAGCTACAAAACTATAATATATTAAGTACCCCATTTTTTCGAAAGCGCCGCGTAGACAAGCTAAGTTAAGTTTCTACATTATATGGTTATCATTCGGTTGGGTTGGCTCAAGCTGGTGACTTTTTGGATAAAAGTGAGCTTTCCAAGCATCAATCATGGCATTGAATGCTATCACCAAGCATCACCAGCTGCACTTAAAGCTAGCCAGAAGCCAAAACCCTGGTTGCCTAGCAAAACCCTGGTTACCAGGAACCAGAATAACTTCCTTCGTTAAGTCAGTTAAGCATCAGAATACCAGTTATACTGGTTGAGCTTTCAAAGTTTAGATCACCGGATGTCGAGGATGCGAATCTTCAGCAGGATGGTGGAGTTGGGTGAAGTTTGGCTCAAGATCAGACAGCTACAGGTGGTGAAAAATGCAATGATGTGGTTGTAAACTAAGAGTTTGCTATTGAAAATTGCCATGGAAATAGTTGATTTATGTTGATTTATTAAACTGAAAAATGGTGATTTTCTATAGTTATGTTGGTTTACCTGAGGGTATGTGGTTGTTATGTTTTATCCAAACACCGTTCAAACACCACAAAAAAAGGGTGATACTCCCAGTTAACTTGAAAAAGGGGGTTGAAGCCACCAACTTGGACGAGCTGGAGTTTTCAAGAGATGATTCAAATCAGTATAGCTTTGCCAAGCGGTCGCAGTGAGGCATTTACACTTCCTCAGTCCTCCAAAGTAGGGGACTTGAGGACTCTGGCGCAAAAATCATTTCAACGTGGCTTCTTGAGGCTTGTGGATGCAGACCATGGCATGGTGGATCCTGCAGTGTCTCTGCAATCTGCAGGACTTGAAGATGGAGACAACCTGACAGCCATTGTCATACACCCAAAGGTAGCGGCAACAGTACGCGCTTTTGCATTGTTTTGCAGCGAGGGCAACCTGGTTGTGACTTGGGGCGATCCAGATTATGGCGGCGACAG